TTCCAGATATATTAAGTATGATCATTTATCACCAGAATGAGTTTCATGACATTCAGTTCCATAGCAGCGAGTGTGGAATGTATTCTGCCACTATTCTGCACTACAGTAAAAAAGAGAACAGAAAAAAACACTTTATGATGCCTTGTCACTTCCATTGGAAAAACACTGAAGATGTAATTCCATTGGAAAAACACTAGATCTTTCAACAAAAGCACATTATTCATGGAATTGTACAATTAATTGAAGTTTTGTTGTTTGTTGAATCAGGACTAAATCATATAAAAACAATGAGGTTGATTCAGTGGTGGACCTAATAACCAAAGGGCCCTGGTGCAAGATTTTATCTTGGGCCCCCCTCCCAAGATGGGGGGGGGGGGCACAGGAGCGGATCACACAGCGGATCTCTCCGACTGCGATCTCACAATTCACCGCACTCACAAAGTCGGATAGAAGTGACATTTCAGGACCGATCAGCTGTTCCAGGCCAGATCGGTTCCCTGCACATGCGATTTGCGATGGCGATCTGCCCTGGAACAGCGGAGAAAGCGTTGGAATGCTTCACCTATTCCACCGCCGAAAAACTGAGCGAGATTACGTTTAAATGTGTGACCACGTCACTGGTCATACATTCTAACGTAGTCTCAAACTGTGATAGAACAGAGGCCTGTCTGTAATCATTTAATCAGAGAAATAGATTATAATAGGGAACATTACAGTGTAAAAGTCCTCATTATAATCCACTTGTCTAATTACATGAAGTAAGAGCCCCCCACCTTCCCCCGCTCGGACTCATCCTGCCAGGAAAGCAGCAGCCATGTGTTGATGTGTGCACTGCAGGGGGGCGGGGCGTGTGACACACACACGTCTCCTGTGACTCACCTCCCCTTCTGCCGCCTGTTACTATGGACTGGGAAGCCCGTCGGCAGTGTTCTAACACCGGGACCCTGCACTGCCCCATATTGCAGGACCGGACCCCACTGAGGCTGTGGGGGTGCCCAGGACCGGACGCTACTGGGCCCCACCACAGCCTCAGGCCCCAGTGCGGCGGCACTGCCCGCAGCGGCGGTAGTTCCGTCACTGGGCTGATTTACCACAGGCAAATAGGGCGTTCACTTTGCAAAGGGAATTTGCACTTTGCAAAGGAATATTACTAGGGATGCACCGATACCGGTATTTCAGTATCAAGTACGAGTACCGGAAGTGCCATTCAGGGAGCCAGGCCGTGTGTAATGACTCGCCACCTGGCTTCCTGATACCGGAAGTATCGGGCTAGGCATCAGAGCATTTGGACGAGTACTCGCCCAAATGCTCAGCATCGGCACCGATACTAGTGTCGGTATCGGTGCATCCCTAAATATTACCATAAAGTAGTGAATGTGGTGAAGCTTTGCTGACTACCATCATCCAATCAAGATAAAATATTGTTTTTTTATTTTCCTTTCTGGTGATTGGGTATTATTTGCACAGTGGATTCTCATCCCATTCTCTAAGCTAAGAGAAAATTCCCTTTGCAAAGTGAACACTCTTTATGCCTTTAGTAAATCGATCGCAATGATACCATCACTGTGCTACACCAAATCTGTAGGCATCCATGGCCTACAGATTTAGAGGTTTAGAAAAATGTGGGAGAAGATCTGTAAGTAGTGGCAGAGTTTTGTAGGAAGAATATTAAATGTTTGGGTGAAAGAAGGGGAATGCCTAAAGTATATCATAAAATGTACTTTATACAGATATTTACCTTTAAGAGAGGTGTTAGATTTCACTTTTCCTGCAAGTGATTTAATGTCTGCTACACACTTTAGACCAGAGCATTATACTGTATTACAACATTACACTGTTTCAATAAAAAGAACTTCTTATCCAGATATCAAATGACTGGGATGATAAAGGCATGTCTGTGTATTTGTGGTCCTGCCACAAGTCTGGAGTGTGTTGCCCTTTAATATCTGAAGTCTGGTGAACTTTTCCTGTCAGTTCATTTTCACTTGTATCTAAGCTGCTCTGTGACTATTTTGGGGTTCTGCCCGCACCAATTTGTGCTGGTGCATCCATCTGCAATAGCTGTACTGATTCTAGCACTTCAGTCCCTGTTCCTGCATTTGTTTGTATAGCCTAATCTCACTTTTTTTGGCAACACTTCTGATCCTGTCCCTTTGCTCTGTACTGGTTCACTGTCTGTTCCTGTCTGTGGTCATCCACAGGGCAGCCATCAGAAATTTTGGGGCCCCTTACACGGCTTTAGGCCAGGCCTCCCTGCACTGCGCCCCCCCCTCCGCCCCCCTACATCCAACTAGGCAATGCTGTGGGCCTCATAATGCTGCACAAGTCCATCTGCAAGTTTAGCAGCTCTGATGAAGATCAGCAGCTCCAAGTCCCTAAACTCTGGTAAGAGCCATTTACTATCAACTGGCATGAGGTGCTTGCCTTCTTACTCATAAGAGATAACTTAAAATGAACAAAACTGAATTTATTTTAAATAAAAGTCTTATTGTACATGGGGATATGTGTGTATCCTAGAATGAACAGCAGGTCACACAACACATTTCAAGTAAAGGCTGTATATCTCTTCTGTGATATACCTTAACTTACGTATTTGTAAATGGTTAACCCTGCCTTACTGGCCCTTTAAAGCTGCAGAGGACCTGAAGTGACCACAGAGAAGAGGTCTATTTAATAAAGTGTTTTTGAAAAATCTGGGTCACAGCTAGAAGTGAAGTCTTTATTTATTGAAAGCTCTTCATTTTTCAATTGACATGAATGGAGATGTTTTAAATTGGCACTTTTCACCCTTTATTAAATAAATCTAGCAGAGCAAAACCATTACGCCAGATTTACATTAATGACAATTTATTACCTAAACCTACTAATGTTCTGCCTGTAGAGTACAATTAATCAAAATCAAAAGTATTGTTTACAGTATACACATTAAAAAAATACTTTATTTGTGCGCATATATACATGTATCATTGTGTGCAGCATAAAATTATAAGTGCAGATATATTGCTTCTAATTATTTAGAATTTCTTCTGTTTTATGAATTTCCCCAACCTGCAGAGATTTAGTTATATACTACTTGTTTTCTATACTTCTGTCTTAATAAAGACATAATGCTTTTTGCCTTTGTCCAAGAAAAGAATTTCCTGACATTCAACAATATCTCTTTTCAATAAGAAAATGTCTTTACTCTAACATTCACTCTATGTAAGAAAAGGGTGAATATTACCTTACCTGCAAATTAATCTGACATTCCTTCAACCTATTTTTTAATGCACTCCACTGGAAATGCAGTGATTGTCTATGGAGAGTGCCAAACCTGGGTTTTTAATATGAGCAATTCAATGTTTTTTTTTTTTAACAATAACTGCTTGGCTTTGCCAACTAAAATGATTTGCACACCATTTGATGCACATATGAAGCCTTTATTTAGTCATTTGTTTTTAATAATTCTCTGAGCATATTTTTTAATAGAAAGTAGATAAATGGACACAAATGCAAAATAATAACATTAATAAACTATTTGGTACTATTTATCTGAATACAAAGCACCTAAACATTAATAGGTTTACACACGTATGTTGGCCTTGTATGGTCAACAAGCAAGCGCATATATTTTATATGTTCTAGTAATGTGCTCTAATTTCAAAATTTGCAATTCACTTGTGAAAAAAAAACAACTAATTAACCTAACACTAATTACTTACCTACTTTATTAACTGCCTTAATTAAAGCACAAACCAATTGACTATTCAACTAACCTATCATTACCTGATATATTAGTTCATTTTTTAAAATAATTGCATTCATTTGAAACTTTTTTTTTGTTTTCTTTGTTACTTTTTAGTGCGAGGGGGGTCAATGTCTCTTGAAGGTTACAGAACCTCCTCTTAGCTACTTCAGCCACGCATTAACTTCATCATTTTATGTTTTCTCACAGAAAATTATGATAGAAATTAGTGGTTTTTCCAAAATCCCTCCACTGATCCTTAATAATGTACTGTATTTTAAAAGAAATGTACATGGCAGTGAAACTTCATTGAAAGCTTTTGAAATGCGGAAGAGTTAGTACCTCTGTAAGGTTACTAATAGAGAGGCATTTCACTTATTGCCCCGGTGACAACTAGTAAATTGGTCAAGGTTTGATAATTTGCTAAATTCATCACAAATGTTCTGAACTCAAAATCTGAACACAAATCATGGAGGGCTGCTATACAAGCTAAAGTCTTCTGATGAAGGGGCGTGCCCCTGAAACGCGTAGACCAACGCGTAGACCAACTGAACTCACAGGGGCAGAGGACCTTTGATTTGTTTCACCATGTGAGACTCCCATTGTCAGAGTTTCATACTTCATCTCTTGCATGCCTTATATCGATCAACCTTTTTGTGAGTAGAATTTCAGCTGTGTGCCGTTCAAATAAATAACTGTTTTACACTATGGAGGCGCTCTGTTTTATCTTTTGTTTCCCACAAGCTAAAGTCACCTGAATGGTGCAGGAAATAAAAAACAGCTGTGAGGGATTTTTGCAATGTAAAAAAAGATCCCCCCCCCATTGTTAATCCCCCCCACACCCTCACATAGACAACTCTAGCACAAAACTACTGTGACACCTTAAGCAACATTCATGGAGTTTTTTTAATAAAAAACGCTTCCTGTGACTTATGTCTCCACTATTAGGCCTGTTGGTGTTGCCATCAAAGTGTGGAGCCCCTTAACAATTTTTACCCATCCATAATAATGAACTATTTCCAGTTTTATGATTATATGTATTATTGTTAATACCAAATATATCAAACATTCATGTTCCTTAAGTATATACCACATCTAAAGTAATTATATTTATACAATGTGACATATTATGAAGAACTAGTAGAAATTTTCTTCCAGGATTTACTAGGTTACCACAGCTGTTAACCTTTAATAAGAGGGTAGTTTGTACTCGTAAACAGTAAACTGCAGGACCGGAAAGTACAGCATAACAGCTCTTGCTTTAAATCCAAGTCACGCATATCAGATAACTGCTCCTCTGCGCTTGTTCACTCTGTCCCTCCCAATTAGTGTTCTAGTAACCATATAAAGATGAGCAAACAGTACATTCATTAGCCCTCTGAGCAATTGTGGCTGTCCTATACCCTCTCTGGGGCAATCAGTCTCATAAAATCTCAGCAGAACGGCTGGCAAGAGAAGAAAAATCCCCAAACATTAAAGGCAGCCTGGGTTGATAAACAGCGGAAATTAATGACAAGACATTTAAAGAATTTATTGAGATGATTTTGCCGTGTGTATTTCATACATGACTGATTATGTTGTGAGTGATCAGATGGTTAAAATCAATACAATAATGCAAAGAGCAGTCTAAGGACATGCTCTGAAACAAATTGATATCATTCAGTGGCTGGGAAGGAAAAATGGTAAATAATTTAGAAGCTAGGCAAAGGTAGTGTTTTCCTTTCGAGGACTAATGACGAGTTCTGGGAAGCCCGTGCGTTCATCCATCTCCCGAGTGAATTGAAGGTCACTGAGTTCCCCAATCACTATCTCAACAGTTGTGAAGACCTCCAGATCTCCCATAGCATGGCCACCGATGGTCCTTCCTTCTTTATCAGACAGGGAGATGTGCAAGTGAGCATGCTCATTTAGTGTTCCAACCAAAGAAACAATTTCTAATTTTTCATTTAAATGGATTATCTTAAAAACAAAACAGAAAAAAAACATATTTAAAAATGAATAATGCATGCCTCTGTTCAACAGCAGAGATTTATAAATAAATAATAATGCAACCAGTAGGAAAAATAAGAAAATGTTCTGCACAATTGATTTCACTTATGGTGACATTTCTGTTAAATTTACCTCTAATTGACTAATTTATTTGGACGAGAATGTCCTGAGCAACATTTCTCATCTTAGGATGCATCTTAGACTGAGATTTTTTTCTTAGGTGAAATTTTGGAGACATATATTAGAATCAGTTAGAGGCAACCAGCAACCGTAATGTGAAAAGTGCAATAGTCCAGAGCAATGATTCAGAAATAATCTCTTAGATTATGTGACTTCAGTTAATTGAAACCTGGTTTCTAGAGGTTACTGCTACTGAAGGTTGATGACACTATTTGTTAATTTTTAAACCAGTATGACTAATCAGAAATGGTGAACAAATAGGAGATTAGAGCATATCTAAACTTAAGAACAAAAAAAATGTCAAAGGTTTATGATACTGAGTGCATCAGGAAACTAACAGGGTTATTCACACAAGGGTGAAGAGTTTGGAGAAGACAGGAGAAGTGAACAATCTAGGACAACATAGCTGATTTGGAAAGATTCTCCATTCAGCTCACTTTCCAGTTCAGCTATTTTGGCCTAGATTGTTCCCTTCTCCTGCCTTCTCCAAACTCTTCACCCTTTTCTGAATAACCCTGTAACAGTGGCGTCACAAGGGGGGTGCGGCCCGCACCCGGGTGACACCATCGGAGGGGTGACACCAAAATGACTTATTTTGGTGTCACCCCCCCTCTGAAAAGTCGGGCGCTCGGTCATGGACCGAATGCCCGACAGTATCAGGAGAGAGGAGGGGACCCGGCGGCATACCTTATCCCGCCGGGTGCGCGATGACATCAGCGCGTGCGCGATGACATCATCGCGCACACGAGTGGTGACGTCACGCGCATGCGTGATGATGTCTCGGCAGGGTGACACTCGGACACCGCTCCGGGTGTCACCCAGCCTCGGGACGCCCCTGCCCTGTAAATGTCATCCAGTTACAGTTTACATTACAATACTGCCACTGATATTCAGAGAGATAGATCTTAGTAACCTAGTAAAGTTGACTGTCAGTGCAGTAAGGAGCATTTGCCTATCTATCTTAGCAATGTAGATTTACTGCCCTCTGAACTTCTGCTACAGACTGAAATTATCCCTGTATGCCTAATGAAGTCTCAAATGCCAGAGTTTCACTACTGTAAAAACCTTATAGGAGGGTTCAGATTTGTAGCTTTACAAAAAAAGGTTAACAAAGGTAGAGTTTAAAGAAGTTTGTATTAGGGTTTAAGAGTAAGTGTGTGCACAATCATTATTAATTTTATCATAATATAAAATATAATTATGGTTATTAATAATAGCACTACTTTTACTTTTATCCCCAGGTTTTCTCCCTTGCAGTGTATACCTTGTAGATCACTTTAATTTTTACGCTCTTGGCATAGCACTGACTGGCAGAGAAACACCAGGCTGCACAAAGTATGCCAAGACAAGGTGAAAATTGAAATTCCAAAACTAACAGTTTATGCGCTTTACCATGCTCTGGTAGTGGTTGGCTAAAGCATACCAAACCAAAGCAGTACACTTCACCACTCATGCAAACACTGCAACAGGAAAAACCCATTTTGTAGTCTGGAACCTGCATGAATATGATGTGTTGCTAGTTACCAACCTGGTGACCCTGGCCACCCTCGGCTACCATTGGCCTAGGAGCAAATTCAGCCCTGGTGATTTATGCACTTTTTACTTAGCCATAGCTGGCCATCATTAGGATGTAATTTTCTGGCATAGTACAGTAAAAGAAAATGATCACCTACTTGCCTTCTACAAAGTGCAGCAATTTTTTTATTCACCATTAACCATTGAAGGAATGCCATTAGCACCTTCTATGGTATCCCTGGTTAAAGGTGAATATAGTAGTCCACACCAAATCTAATTATAATTTGCTCCATCTACCTGCCTATCCTGTATAATATTGAACATATTAACAAAACAGCCATTCTTCTGGAAAATCATAAAAAATAAAGCGAAAGACATAAATGTAGCCCTCATGTCTTCCAGAACCATTATACAGTAATTCTATTCAACAGCCGGAGCTTAGAAGGAAAATGTATGCCAAGTAATTGAGAGGACGAGTGCAAGGAGAGTTATTTCCTTTGTGACATAAGAAATATTCTACATATTTTACCATTTCAGCACCACCAATGTCTTTAATTAAAGATTATATCAAATTAAAGATGACAGGACACCTTCAGGGGAAATGCATTTGATTCTCTGCATTGCTGGAGCAAAATACAAAGAACAGATTTTAGGAACAGCTTGTAGTGTGGCACCAAAATCTTATAATTACATAATTAGGAACAGTACACTTCTCTTGAAACACTCCACGGCCATCTTGCTGTATCTATGCATGACTTAAAGTGATCCAGTATATCAAGCAGACCTGTCAGGTACCTCATTGCTATTCACCGCATCTGCATTAGCCAGTCTAAGTGTTGCTTTGGTGACACTGCCCACACATGTAATAACAAACGGAGCTCTCAGTTCCTTCTCTTGCACAAATTTAAACAATGATGTGACTATTTCTTCTCCTGGTCCCAAGCGTAGGGCATACACTGACAGAGAGCTGGGTCCCCCCTGAGTGAAAGAAGAGAAAAGAGATAATTGTTTTTGTATTTGTCAGAAAAGAATACCTCATGCATATCAAGGCAGAACATTAGATATGAATGGGAAATGCAATCTAAGTTTGGTTCAAATGTACAAAATTGTATTTCATATTTTCTTGATTTTAAAGCAGATCTGAAGTGGAAAATTGACTTTAGCACTCTCACTCTCTCTTGATGCTCTCATGAAATATAAAATAAAAGTTGTGACCCTTGCTGAAGCCTTTTTTTGCTGGAGCAGGATCCCTTCAGGTCTAGCCAGCCACAGCTTCATTGTGGGTCTCTGTTGTGGCTGAGCAGCCAATCTGATGTTTTCCTTCACACAGAACATATTGTTGGCTGTGGTTAAAGAACCAGAATTGCCAGAGAAAGTAGCCCATTCAAGCAAATAGATACGTATTTCAGAACTCTCATTTTTATTTCTTCAAGGAGACCTAAAGTCAAATTCTGCTTTTTTTTTTTTTTCCAATAATTTTTTATTTGTTTTGAGTTAAATGCTTATAACAGTGATCACACTTTCACATTCAGTGTGTATTAAAACGCAGTATCAAATAAAGGTTACAAACTCAAGTTTCCATGATATAATGGTACAGTCAAACAGTGCAGTCCTCAAGGACTACCTTCCATTGGTATAAGTACTACAAACATTGTTACGAAAACTTCGGGACCAAGGTTCAGAGGCTAAGTATGAAGTGGTTGGTTCCAACTAGGTAAAAGGAATGGGAAAGGAAGGGGATATATGGGGAGCGGTCGGGATAGGAGACAGGATCTACATTTTGTGAACGCTTCCGTTATTGAGATATCAAAGGATCAAGGATTCCATATCAAAGGAGGGAGGATGGTATGACTCAATCCATGGTTCCCACAGTTTACGAAATGATACCAAAGCATCCCTTTGGAGAACAGTAAGTTTTTCAAAGAGGTAGTGAAGTGTGGAGCGCATGGGGAACACCAGAACGGGAGGCTGACCTCCTAACTAAGAATTGAACAATCTAAATAAACCGGAGAATATTATCATAATGTGAACATTGTGGATGTCCCTAAAGGTTGTATTAGGTACATATGAGTGTCCTGGTTGACACCAGAAACAGTAAGGCTAAACTATTCGCCATAAGTATATACCCTTTAACCTGTTAAATAATGCAATTTGGAGCTAAAAAAGAAAATAAACAGTAACGAGAATCCGAACAGTTCTATGCATGCGCTCTCAGTCAAATTCTGCTTTAAAAGAAATCTTTACTTATTTCTTTTGTAATTTTGTTAAGAACCAGTACCGCAAAAAATATTGTATTCAGATATCTGTACTGTTGATACAGATAGTGACAACATTGATTATATTCCCTTTTTTGCATCATCTATATTTCTCTACACATTTATATGCAGACTTACCTGTCCACCAGAAGTGACAGGGTTTAGGACAAACTATGACACTGCCTGTGATACTTAAAGTGGAACTACAAAATGTTATCTTTTACAGCCAAAGAAGGTGCCCTCTTAGCCTCAATTTGGATTGCATTGCCATGGTGTTGCGCATGTGATCAGCTATGGCGCCAGCCATTTGTTTGGTTGAGAACTGGAAGAAGCACATACCAACACCTTGAGAGTTGGCATGCCTTGGAAGTAATTGTTCTGGGAGACATTAATATTGTGGGTCCAGCTCTGATTTAACCAGTTGCAACAACAGTTTGAAGTAATATAAAACACGTAAATAAAAGGTAGAACCTCTGGCAGTTTATCCAAAAACAAGTTTGGTAAACAACTGGCATTTATCAGCAAAGCGGTTAAATAGTACTTAAAATGATTTTAGGTGGAATTTATTTCATTTTTTATTTAAGTTTTTTGAAGTGGTGTTTTAATCTTTTTCTATTGTCTATATACTTTTTATTATTTACAAATAAACATTTCATAGAGAGTTCCACCATGGTATACATTTTGCTCAGTATTATGGGGACCACAGCAGTAGCTTTTTCCATGTAGAATATCTCTAGAATTGGAATTAAACTGTGAGTATAATTTGAGCTTCAGCTATCCAGCACAGTAAGCAACAGGCTTTTTCTCAGGAAAGCAACAAAAATTAGTCTGGTAGTGAAGTGAAAAGAAACAGGCTTTTTCTCACGAAAGCAAAAAAATTAGTCTGGTAGTGAAGTGAAAAGAAACCTAGAGCGCCACCTGCTATCTGAAAACAATTAATATTAAATATTTATTTCTATTAAACTGAATAAGTCACATTAGATGTATTTTATTTTTTTAAGTCATGTAGCAGAATAAATAAATCAAATGCATACAAAACTCTGTATAATACCTGTAAAAAACGAATACATAAAACACAATATTTTTATAGAGAATTTATATAGCGCCAACAGTTTGCGCAGCACTTTACAACATCAATGCAAGAGGGTTAGGAGGGCCCTGCTTGTGAGATCTTACAAACTAGTAAGTACCATTCCCACCAATGTGTTAAGTTCAATTTACCATAATATTCTGTAGTTTAAACTTAATGTCTTGTAGCCATTCCGAGAAAAGCTTTCTAAGCAGGGCTGCAGCTTTTTTTGCCATTTAAGAAATGCTCCCCAGTTTTCCTTCTACATTTCGTACATTTAATACCTCCAGTAGACTGTAATGTGTGCAACAGGTGTGTGGTTATTATTTTTCTTTGTTGAGCGTGCATGTTTACAGCTGGGAAAGGAGAGAAGGGATAGGGCAGTCAGATACCCCTGGCATCGACCTAATGTCATGCAATAAAGGTTGGGAGATCAATGGCGATAGTTTTAGTGGAATAAGAGTGATGTTTTACCATAAGGCCCCCTTCACACTGAGCATCCTTGTAATATCCCCCCATTATTTCCCTGCAACCCCTATCCTAACAATCTGTATACGTCTATCTGCTATCTCAACACTAACCCTCCCTGTCAACATTTATCCTCCCTCTAACCTTATCACTAACCCTTCCAGTAACCCCAACACATATGCACACTGTAACACTAACATTAATCCTCCCTGTAACCCCCAACACTAATACACCCTGTAATCCCCAACCCTAATGATAACCTTCTCTGTATTCCCAACACCAACCTGCCCCATAAACCCAACAGGAATACTAACCTCCCTGTAACACTAACAGTCTTTTATGCAGATTCCTTAGAGCTATGTCCATTTCCATTTTGGATTATCAAGTTTTAAGACCAAAGCCCTGACAATATGATATATTAGGTGCAAAAGCAGGTATTTGTATAGTGTCTGGGCACAGAGCCGGCCTTAGGCCTTTAGGCGCCCAGTGCGAGAAAGCTTTACAGCGCCCCTCAGTGACCACACCCCTAAGTGGCCACACCCTTTAGTGGCCACACCCCCGGATCACAACCATTTTTCCCAATATCTGCACCATTTAAAGACTCCTATTTTGTTAAGCCGTAAAGAAACATATTAAAAAGTATGATAAAAATTAAACTTTTATTCAAAGGTATTAAACTTGTAGGCACAATATAGGTATTCTTATCAAATAAAACAACAGAAGGTAAACAATAAATGACAAACTAAAATAGAGTCTATAAAAATAAAGTGTCAGGCTGTCATGCCGATCCCTTTTTTCAAGTAAGTGCATCTAGAAAAGTAAAAATAGAAAACAGAACACAAAACCCAGACTACTTGTAAAATGAATGAATTACTATATGTCCGAATATACGAAAAATGTATTCAGGCACATAATAATTTGTTTGAGAATGTGCGGCGGCCATGTTGGCCACTGGCGTGTTCTGTGAATGCGTGCCACCATCTTGGAGGCAGGGAGCATGATGTTACAGGACGTCATGCATGCCTGGCGTCAGGTGACGTCACACGCCCATATTGGCCCCACCATCTTGGTGTATACCTAGATATACACCAAGATGGCGGCGCCCAACACCTGCCTCCAGAACACGGCAGTGGCTGAATCTAAAATAGCATAAAAAAAGTGTTTTGTTTGATGAAACAAATGAAAACGTTTTTAGTTTTCGTTCATTTCATCTGAAATGAATTTTTAGTCTTCGCACATGTCTAATAACGCACGTTTGTGTGTGTGTGTGTGTGTGTGTGTGTGTGAGGGGGGAGGGCTGTTTTCACTTTTTTAAAACCATTTTTTAAAAATGTTATTATTTTTTTTCATAATTTTCTATTTTTTTATTTATTTATTTTTTACTGTTGGGGGGGCTTCGGGAAATATTAGGGGTCCAAACAGACCCCTGACATTTCCCTTTTAAAATAGAAAAGAAATTGAGGACACCAAATCCTCAATTTCTTTTTCAGCAGCCTCAGCACTCAATGAATGGGAAGCACTGAGTACAGAGGCTTCCCATTCATATTTACTATCAGCATAGTAATGACATAGTACACATAGTACTATCACATAGTACTATGTGTCCCCAGTTATTTACAAACACTGGAGTGATCAGACGATCGCTCCAGTGCTTGTCCTTCTCACACGGAGGATCGGTCAATATCAATGATATTTACAGATCCCCGCTCTGCCACGCACAGAGCTGCTGTCATCCTAAAACTGACAGGATGACAGCGGCTCCGATCTCCTACCCGCTCAGCCATCCTGACAGCTGCGGGCGGGGCTTCTCTCCCCCTCACCGCTCCGCCATCCTGACAGCAGGCAGCGGTCCCTCCTGCGCCCCCCCTGAAGTGGGGGGGGGCGGATGAGGGAGCGCTGTCATATCGGATGGCCAGCGGTACCAAGCAGAATAGGTGAGCCGAATGCCGCTCAGCAGCATTCCGCCATTCACTCACTGCCATTCGGCCCCTATGAGAATAGGGGCAAACGGCAGCGAGCGAGCTGCCCGAGCTTCGGCTCAGCTGATCCAGATGTTTGATCGGCTGAGTCGAAGTCCCCCTGCAGAGTATGTTCAGCTGACCGAAGGCAGCCGATATACAGCTGAAATCAGACGTACTGAGCTGGAGTGAATAGTCGAATGTTGTTCGGCTCACTTCACTTTGAAT